ACCCCCCCACCTCCACCCCCCCTCTTTACTTCTTCTCCCCCGCCCCCCCCCCCCCCCTTCATACCTGCTGCTCCCCAAACCCAACCCCCCCCAACGTCTCCTCCCCTTCCCCTCCCCCTTCCCCCTATCTCCCTCCCCTTCATACCTGCTGCTCCCCAACCCCCCCCCCCCCACGTCTCCTCTCCCTCCTTTCCCCCCCTCCCTTCCCCCCCCCCCCACTCTCTCCCTCGGTGTAGCAGACTCAATGATGCTACCTCACTTGGCTCCCGGGGCTTCTGGCACGCTGGCACCCTTGGTCTGGCACGGCCGCCTGGCAAAGAGCAGTATCAGCTGGGCACTCTCGAGTCCCCCTCCAGCGCCAGCGTGAGTAGGAGAACAAGAAGAAGAAGGACGAGAAGAACAAGAAGGAGAAGGAGAGGAGGTGGAGAGAGGAGAGAAGCGCCAACAAGAGTCAGGATCAAGGCCAGTGGTGGGTGCCCAGAGCGAAAGGGGGGGGAGGGAGAGGAGAGGGCGTGAGAGAGTGAGGTAGAGAGCGAAGAGAAAGAGGGAGAAGAGAGAAGGAAGGAGAAAAAGAGTTTTTAGTGAGGAAAATTGTTGCGGGAGCGAGTGAACGGCGCGGAGACAAAGAGTGAACAAGGAGAGAGGAAAAAAACAAAACAAACGGAAGACGTGATAAAAACTTAAACAAAGGAGAAAAGAGATAAAAGAGACAGAGAGACGGAGGTAGAGAGAGAGAGAGGAAAGAGAGACGAGGAGAGAAGTGAGAGAAGAGAGAGAGAGAGAGGAAAGAGAGACGAGGAGAGAAGTGAGAGAAGAGAGAAGAGAGAGGGAGAGAGAGAGGAAAGAGAGACGAGGAGAGAAGTGAGAGAGACGAGAGAAGAGAGAGGGAGAGAGGGAGGACGCCTCAGCCTTCGCCTCTCCTGGTCTATTTCCGAGTCGCCGGCGCTGCCCCTAAGAATATCTCCGAAGCTGCAACCCAACCACCAGATACCTCCACACGACCATCCCCCTTGTCCTCCTCCTCCTCCTCCCCCTCCCCCCCTTTCCCCTCTTTCTAACACCCCCCTCTCCTCCCCCCATCAGATACCCCCCACACTACCATCCTCCCCCCCATCTCTCCCTACCCCCCCTCCATCCGTCGTCCTCACCTACCTGATACCTCTCTCCCTCCCTCCCGCCTCCCCCTTCCTCCTCCTCCTCCTCCTCCTCTTCCTCCTCTTCCTCCTCCATCTCCTCAGTGTCCTCGCCACTTCGCCAACAACACCATCTCCCTCGTGGCCGGGAACTCTTGGGGGGGTGACCTCGTATGCCCCAGGATCGTGACCTTGTATAGGGACTCTGAAGAAGAAGGAGAAAGAGAAGAAAAGAAAACAGTATAGTTATTTATTTAATTCGTTTTTTTTGTAAGTGAAAATTTAAACGAAAACCTAAATTTCCAGCTGAAAAAATATAATATCCTCTTCTCTAAGGAAAAATAATATATATATATATCTCAGTGTCGCAAGCTCAGGTGTGGTCGATAGGCCTACAAATAAAGAAAAATATAATTTAAAAAAGATTACTTCATTATAAAGTGTACGTAATAACTCTGTGCCTTACTGAACGTTCCTTTACCCGAAGCCTTAATATATTTACGCTCAGGACCGGTGCCGTGGAAGCCTTATTTATAATTAAATAATTTATTAAACTAACTTATTTTAATGACTATTTATTGAACCCTATTTATTTATTTATTGGACTTAAGTTATTGCGTGTGTCCGTCGACTCGACTCCGATACCAGTGAAGGAATTTTTTGTGTGAAACGAAGTGAAAATGGAAATGGTACAATTACGAACCCTTCGAGTGCCGTTGTGACGAATTTGACCCAAAGACGAAAAAAAAAAAATACAGAAGCAAGAACATTTTTTAAAGATTATTATATGTGGATTCGTTTCGAAAAGTGAAGTTTCATTTTTGGTTTTCGAATCGTGTTTCATTTCGTTTTCTTTTACGAAGGAGAGTGAGGGCGAAGTGAAATCTTTCTCTCCCTTTTTACCCCCTTTTTCCCTTCTTCCTGCCATCGTCACCGCCACTCTTAAAACGAAATAACGAAAGAAAAAGAGAGAGAAAGAGAAAGAAAAAAGTGAATATCAAAGAAAAAAGCAAGAAAAACCAAAACATGAAAAAATAGTAGAGGGGAAAAAAAATCCAAAACCAAAATCAAAGAAAACGAAAAAGAATAACAACAAATATACCCGAAATAAAGAGAAAGAAAGAAAGCGAAAGAGATCGATAAAGATAGAGAGAGATATATACCTATACCCCAAAGAAAGGAGGGAAAATTTTCAAAAAATCGAGAGCATCCGTTATCCAGTCTCCCTCTCGAAATTGTGCCGCTAAATGGTGAATATGGACGGAGAAGCCCTTAAGCCTGAAGCCTTTTTAACCACGGCCTCCACCACCGCCACCCTTGTCGCCGCCAGGAGTCCTCCGTCGTATCCCAAAGTCGCCGAGGCCACG